TTTCACGCAAACAATTTGTGTGGTCCTTCTAAGCTAGTAACTTTGAGAAAAACATTTAAATATTATCTTCTTATCTTTCAACATTTTTTTTTCAAAGCTTTTGGATAAAAATCTTTTTGTGCAAAGATTTTTTTTGAAAATAGGAACGAAAAAATATATTTAAACCAAAAATATTAAAAAATGAAAAAACTACAAATTAACATATAGTGCTTTAAACATCTCAGTAAAATACTAACAGAAAAATCCTAATTAAATATCTTTTAAAAAATTAGACTTAATTAAAAACCTATTTAAAAAATTTCAATTAAAATTGAAACCAAATAACTAAAAGTGGAGATATGATCTTAGTTAAAAATCTTCAACAAATATTTCGAAGTGTCTCATAAGCTTTATATAATATTTATTCTTTTTAATGTCAAATATAATATATATATATATAAAATTAGGGGGCAAGCCACTTCTAAGATTTATCGATAGTATTACTTATACAAATTATTTAAATTTAAAATTAAATATATTTTTAGTCTTGTTTAAATTTGACTTGTCAAAAATTTTGATATATTTTACTTTTTAAACTTTAAAAATAAATTGATATAGTTTTTTAAACTAATTATATTAAATTTTTTTATGTGTTGGAGTTTCATACTGATGAGACATTTTTGTTTCAATATCAATTTTAAAATGCGTAAAAGGTAAAAAACAAATTAAGGTAATTGATAATTGAGTAAAAAAAATAAATCTGTGAACAAATTCAAGTTCGTTTGACCATATTCTCACCACTACAAACACAACCTTAGTTTCCTGAGTGCTTCTTTCTTGGTGGAGTCAATAATCACTTTTGGACGGAGGTCGCGTTTTTCACGTTGCTTGTACGAAATTGGTAAGGCATTTCCAATCCGCCGACCCACATGTGATGCACAAAAATCATTTTTAAATAAATAAAATTAACTTTAAAAAGGTAAATATAATTTATAAACTTAGTTTCTATTAAAAATCCATTATTTTTTAAATTAAGATACACGATAAATTGATTTAAATTTACTAAAGAATTTAATATATTTTATGTTCTTACTTGAAAAAGAAAATATTTAAGAGAGAATTTTCTAATAATCTTTTAAGATAGAATTTTCTAAGAAAGATAACATTCTTCAAGTCAATTTCTCCCTTCTTTATCCCGCCCGCATTACTGAAACTTTATTGTACTTTCTACAATTATATAATTGTTATGTGCAATTGTTTCTCAGACCATTCAGTACCCAACAAACACAAGATAGTACAGTTGGCCAAATATGGAGAAAGCAATTCAAAGACAGAGGGTACTACTTGAGCATCTTCAACCCAGTTCTTCAAGTTTGATTTTTTCGCGCCAAGCCCATCAATCTACGGATCTCTCAGTAAGTGGGTGTTTCGTTTTTTCTTTCAAATTTCCCTGTTTTTCAAGTGGTTACTATTTTGTTTTGTCAGGTGAATTGAAATCATAACTTCTCTTACTTTCTTTTCAAACTCACTAAATTTACCTTATATCTTCAAATGCTAGTGGAAAAGTTGAACTCATCTTCTCTTCTTCCTTTCCCTACCACTTTACATTAAGCTACCTTATTACTCCATTTGTTAATGTATTGTTACTGCATAAATTTGATCTCTTGCTCGCTGAATGCTGTTCAGTTTAGTTGTGACTTTTGAAGGTTTAACTGAAGATCTTAGGATAATTTTTATATGTGGGACCACCGACAAAAGTTTGTAATATTCGATAAATTCTAACATAAAAGATAGTGTATTAGTGTTAGTATTTTAAGGTTGTGAAAGGAGTAGTTGATNCCGATACCCTTGATACGAACATCGAAGTTTTTATTTTCAACACTTAATTAACGCATACCCCATATAGCACGTATTAAATTATTAATATTGTGGGTTGAAATTTGCTTTCCGTAATTTCAACGAGAATGTTATTGCCGTGTGAATCGTTGAACCATTTTTTGTGGCTTGAATTAATGGGGGTTTTGGTAGAAAAGTGATGATTCAGTGTAAGTGGGAAAAGAACTAATCACAAGTTGCAACGCACAATAGACCAGCGGAAATGACAAGTTTACCCCTTGAGAATAATCTTCTTGCAATCCTTAAACATGTAAATAAGTGATAATTTAGGTTTTAAAAAGATTAGATTTTCAACTTTTATATAATCCAAAGACATCAAGTATTTGGAACAATGGGTTGAGACATGCCCGTAAGTATGAATAATACATTTTATGAGATATATTAATTATACTTTTGTTAATTACATATTTATTGTTTGTTGACATAAGAGGTTAACTTGAGTATCAAAATTTTTTCTGCATACACACACCTACCAAGTATAAGGAGAACAAGTATTCAAAAGGAGAACAAGTAAAAGTTGAAAGCATTTGGAGAGTTTGTGAAAGTCTTTACAAGGTGCTTACTCAACACTGTAAGAACAATTGGCATCCATCGTGGGGTTGACTTGTATTTTATGAAGAAAAACATTTATGGTTTCCACAAGAAGGATGATAGTTTGAGAAAAGAGAAGCAATCCTCGAAGCCTATGCTAAGATGCAGCCAAATTTTGCTGAGTTTAATAAAAAAAGTGATGAGGAAATGGATGCCCTAATGAAGGAAACTACAAGGCTGAAAAGGAAGGCCGAGAATGAGATAATGGCTAGCATAGGAAAGGAGAAATAAACCCTTGATAACACAGTTTTGGTGTAGAAAACTCCAACTCACACCGACCTTATTCGTGGAAATGAAAAGGAAAGCGAGTACAATCCACCTCCAAGACAAAACCCTCCTCAGTAGTAGGAGGGAACATCCAACATCCCTTCATAAACGATATCACTGATACCTCGTTCATAAGTAGTGGAAGGTTCTTACCTTAAACCGGTATGATGGTAGCACTAATCTAGATGAGCATATTGTCGTCTACACTACCCAGGTTAGTTTGTACTTGACTAACAATGTTGTCATGTACAAAGCTTTTGCCAGCATTTTGAAGGTGACATCCTTGGAATGGTTCACTCGTCTTTTCTCTTATTCCATCGACTATTTCGACACACTAGTGTCATCCTTTACAACATAGTTCACCACAAGTCATCATCATCACCTTACATCTCTTACACTCTTCAATGTTAACCAAGAAAAAAAAGGAGTCTTTACAAACATTAATTAAAAGGTTTAATAAAGTGGCTTTGAAGATTAGAAACCTCAACCCCAAGGTGGTTCTTTACTATATGATCACGACACTTAGGCTAAGTCCTTTTGCGAACGACTTATACATGACATTGCTTACAAGCATGGATGAACTAAGGTAGCGAGCTGCCAAGTTCATGCAATTGAAGAAAGTAAGGAGAATCAAAACAGAATAAGAGCTAAGAAGAAAGGTGTTGAACCTCCACTACACAACACGAATTCATCACATTTTCATTACCTCCATCACCAAAAAACCATCCTAAAGCAAATTAAACACTCCTCCGAACCAATTCACCACGACATCATCCATTACTCTTCACTCATACAACACTCTTCTTACCACTCTTTTCTATTTTCTTTTCACTCTTGCTCATCACTCTTCTTATTCTTTCTTGCTAGAGCATGCTTTCATCCATTTTCTCATATCTCCATCATATTTTTCTCTTTTAAAAGATCTCTTTATATAAGCCTTCTTGAGAGATGATTGTTGAATACAGAGTTGAGTTCTATATAGTCTTCATAGCCTTTTTCGATACCTTGACTAGACTCAAATCTACGTTGTAGAATATTTGTGCTCTTTCACGCAAACAATTTGTGTGGTCCTTCTAAGCTAGTAACTTTGAGAAAAACATTTAAATATTATCTTCTTATCTTTCAACATTTTTTTTTCAAAGCTTTTGGATAAAAATCTTTTTGTGCAAAGATTTTTTTTGAAAATAGGAACGAAAAAATATATTTAAACCAAAAATATTAAAAAATGAAAAAACTACAAATTAACATATAGTGCTTTAAACATCTCAGTAAAATACTAACAGAAAAATCCTAATTAAATATCTTTTAAAAAATTAGACTTAATTAAAAACCTATTTAAAAAATTTCAATTAAAATTGAAACCAAATAACTAAAAGTGGAGATATGATCTTAGTTAAAAATCTTCAACAAATATTTCGAAGTGTCTCATAAGCTTTATATAATATTTATTCTTTTTAATGTCAAATATAATATATATATATATAAAATTAGGGGGCAAGCCACTTCTAAGATTTATCGATAGTATTACTTATACAAATTATTTAAATTTAAAATTAAATATATTTTTAGTCTTGTTTAAATTTGACTTGTCAAATTTTTTGATATATTTTACTTTTTAAACTTTAAAAATAAATTGATATAGTTTTTTAAACTAATTATATTAATTTTTTTTATGTGTTGGAGTTTCATACTGATGAGACATTTTTGTTTCAATATCAATTTTAAAATGCGTAAAAGGTAAAAAACAAATTAAGGTAATTGATAATTGAGTAAAAAAAATAAATCTGTGAACAAATTCACGTTCGTTTGACCATATTTTCACCACGACAAAGACAACCTTAGTTTCCTGAGTGTTTCTTTCTTGGTGGAGTCAATGATCACTTTTGGACGGAGGTCGCGTTTTTCACGTTGCTTGTACGAAATTGGTAAGGCATTTCCAATCCAACAACCCACATGTGATGCACAAAAATCATTTTTAAATAAATAAAATTAACTTTAAAAGGTAAATATAATTTATAAACTTAGTTTCTATTAAAAATCCATTATTTTTTAAATTAAGATACACGATAAATTGATTTAAATTTACTAAAGAATTTAATATATTTTATGTTCTTACTTGAAAAAGAAAATATTTAAGAGAGAATTTTCTAATAATCTTTTAAGATAGAATTTTCTAAGAAAGATAACATTCTTCAAGTCAATTTCTCCCTTCTTTATCCCGCCCGCATTACTGAAACTTTATTGTACTTTCTACAATTATATAATTGTTATGTGCAATTGTTTCTCAGACCATTCAGTACCCAACAAACACAAGATAGTACAGTTGGCCAAATATGGAGAAAGCAATTCAAAGACAGAGGGTACTGCTTGAGCATCTTCAACCCAGTTCTTCAAGTTTGATTTTTTCGCGCCAAGCCCATCATCAATCTACAGATCTCTCAGTAAGTGGGTGTTTCGTTTTTTCTTTCAAATTTCCCTGTTTTTCAAGTGGTTACTATTTTGTTTTGTCAGGTGAATTGAAATCATAACTTCTCTTACTTTCTTTTCAAACTCACTAAATTTACCTTATATCTTCAAATGCTAGTGGAAAAGTTGAACTCATCTTCTCTTCTTCCTTTCCCTACCACTTTACATTAAGCTACCTTATTACTCCATTTGTTAATGTATTGTTACTGCATAAATTTGATCTCTTGCTCGCTGACTGCTGTTCAGTTTTGTTGTGACTTTTGAAGGTTTAACTGAAGATCTTAGGATAATTTTTATATGTGGGACCACCGACAAAAGTTTGTAATATTCGATAAATTCTAACATAAAAGATAGTGTATTAGTGTTAGTATTTTAAGGTTGTGAAAGGAGTAGTTGATCTGGTAGAGAAAATGTAGAGATATAAAGAAATAATCAAGAAAATTATACGTAGGTAGAAAGTCTACGGAAGTTCTAGCTAGAATTTTTTAGAATAGTCATGAAATAGAGATGAGGTCTATAAATACCCATGTGTACTATCATTTGAGGGAGAAACCAACATCTATTACAACTAAAGACAACTATAACACTTCTTTCAAAAAAAAAAAATTTTTTTTTTAAATCTTTTTTTTGTTTTTGAAAGAAGTGTTGTAGTTGTCTTTAGTTGTAGTAGATGTTGGCTTCATCTTACAAATGGTAGAGTTTATGGGTATTTATAGACCCATAGATTATTCTAGAACATTTTAGCCACAACTTACGTGGAATGTTCTAGTTTTTTACCTATGTAGAATATTCTTGATTTTTCTTTCTATCTTAGACTTTTCTACAATATTCTAGAATTTATATTACATTTCAATTCCTCTATCTTAGGAGCTTTCTACATTCTTCTAGAAATTGCATTATACTTTAATAATTAGAAACAAAAATGTTAGAGAGTAGTAGATTTGTGAAGTTTTTTTTATGCTGGATTTGTTGAACCAACTTTTACTCTCTGAAGTATATGTGGAAATGCTTTACATTGTTGAAGTCTCTTTTCCATTTCTTGTTAGGCTTCATCATGTTTTGCTGGGAATTCTTCACATGGGCAAAGGGGTGGATCAGAAGATGATGTGGTGATTGTAGCGTAAGTTTGCCTATATAAATTCTATTTGTGTGATTTCTAATTCTCTATTTTGTGGTAGTAATCCAATTAGTCCTTCAAATGTATGTGTGAATGACTATTCTCGTATTGTTAAATGTTAGAGCTAGTGTTGCTAGTTTTTGGTTAAAGTTGATTTTGAAGTGACTTGTTTTATGTTTGGATGTTTTTATTGTAAAACCAATTTAGCAGTATAACTCAGGATACATTTGTGATTTTCCTACTATCATTCAAAGACTTGGACTAGGTTGATCAATGATATATCGTTGAGGGATAAAATTGAGTATTTACTCTATGATTTTATTGATGAGATTGTTGAACCTTTTAGCTTTAATTTCTCTGCAATAACCAGGGCATATCGAACTGCCATTTGCAAAGCAAAACGTGGAAGCTTTAAGGATACTCTTCCAGATGATCTTCTTGCCTCAGTTCTGAAGGTAATTCTTTGAATAATTCAAGAATTGGAAATAATATTAGTAAGGATAAAAAATGCTTTAGTGAACATTCATAATGGTTTATGATTGGAACATGGCAACCTTGAAATATTTTGAGCTACTTTTGTTGATCATTGGTTTATTTATTTTACTTCACTTTTGTTCTGTGGTTCCTAAACTGAGTTTTCCTATAGGCTGTGATAGAGAAAACAAAAGTAGACCCAGCAGAAGTTGGAGACATTGTTGTGGGTACAGTACTCGCCCCTGGATCAGATAGAGGAATTGAGTGCAGAATGGCTGCCTTTTATGCAGGTTTCCCAGGTACATTTTACAGTCTTCATTGATATGCTGTACGAAATCATTGATTTTACTGAATGTAGAAGTCCTCTTGAGGTGGCTTCATATGATTATTCTTGTGGCTCGTATTTATTTTAGCACGATTTCTAATATATTATGGATCTCATTCAATTTTCAACCAGATACTGTGCCTCTTCGAACTGTCAATAGGCAATGTTCATCTGGACTGCAAGCAGTTGCCGATGTAGCTGCTTATATAAAAGCTGGTTTCTATGACATTGGTCAGAATGAATTGATCTAAACTTTATATTAAAATTCCATGGCCTGGTTATTTCTTTAGCCTAATCTTCCTAATATATCATGCAGGTATTGCGGCTGGATTGGAGTCTATGTCACATGACACTGTGAATAGGCTTAGAAACATTAACCCGAAGGTATGGAGAAGTTGTATATTTTGAATTCCACTTTTTCCTTTGAGACATGTTTGGCTTGACTTTTCATTATATTAACTTGATTTTTCATTATATTAATTAACAGGTAGAAACCTTTGCACAAGCCCGGGATTGTCTTCTTCCTATGGGAATAACTTCTGAGAATGTAGCACAGCGCTATGGTGTGACAAGGCTAGAGCAAGATCAAGCTGCTGTGAGTATGACACAATTATTTAATATGTTAAGGGTTTGTTATGGAAAATTTTTCTGTAAGCATTTTAAAAGAAGAAAAAGGTAAAATGAGTGTCTGCATAAAAGCTAAAACTAGCTTATGCAAGCATGAGCTGAAAATCTGTTGTAGAAACTAAATGAGTTTCTTTAAATTAGTTTTTTGCATAAGCAGTTTTAGCTTATGGAGCAACTTATTTTATTTTTCTATCTTAAGTGTTTGTAGGGAAGTTTATCCAAACAGATCCTACATATGTATGAAAAGATTATTAGGATGCTTGAACTTTTAGTTTGTATAATTAGGTTGAGTCTCACAAGCGTGCTGCAGCTGCAACAGCATCCGGTAAATTCAAAGAAGAAATCATTCCAGTTTCTACAAAGGTAAGCATCAACGGCCAAAATGATCATTCCTGTAGTATTAAATATATTATACTACTAATGATATTTGTTTTCGAAGTTTGTGGACCCTAAAACTAGAGTGGAGAAGAAAATTACTGTTTCTGTTGATGATGGTATCCGGCCAAACACAAATATAGTGGATTTGGCAAAGTTGAAGCCTGCATTCCAGAAAGATGGATCGACAACAGCTGGTATTCAAGAACTATCTTTTGTTAATTTTGTTACTCTCGGGGAAATCTTCTACCTTGTGAATATATTTGTTTTCAATCTTTCTTTTTATTTCAATTTCAGGGAATGCTAGCCAAATCAGTGATGGTGCAGGAGCTGTGCTCCTCATGAAGAGAAGAGTGGCTGTACAAAAGGGGCTTCCNTTTTCTACAATATTCTAGAATTTATATTACATTTCAATTCCTCTATCTTAGGAGCTTTCTACATTCTTCTAGAAATTGCATTATACTTTAATAATTAGAAACAAAAATGTTAGAGAGTAGTAGATTTGTGAAGTTTTTTTTATGCTGGATTTGTTGAACCAACTTTTACTCTCTGAAGTATATGTGGAAATGCTTTACATTGTTGAAGTCTCTTTTCCATTTCTTGTTAGGCTTCATCATGTTTTGCTGGGAATTCTTCACATGGGCAAAGGGGTGGATCAGAAGATGATGTGGTGATTGTAGCGTAAGTTTGCCTATATAAATTCTATTTGTGTGATTTCTAATTCTCTATTTTGTGGTAGTAATCCAATTAGTCCTTAAAATGTATGTGTAAATGACTATTCTCGTATTGTTAAATGTTAGAGCTAGAGTTGCTAGTTTTTGGTTAAAGTTGATTTTGAAGTGACTTGTTTTATGTTTGGATGTTTTTATTGTAAAACCAATTTAGCAGTATAACTCAGGATACATTTGTGATTTTCCTACTATCATTCAAAGACTTGGACTAGGTTGATCAATGATATATCGTTGAGGGATAAAATTGAGTATTTACTCTATGATTTTATTGATGAGATTGTTGAACCTTTTAGCTTTAATTTCTCTGCAATAACCAGGGCATATCGAACTGCCATTTGCAAAGCAAAACGTGGAAGCTTTAAGGATACTCTTCCAGATGATCTTCTTGCCTCAGTTCTGAAGGTAATTCTTTGAATAATTCAAGAATTGGAAATAATATTAGTAAGGATAAAAAATGCTTTAGTGAACATTCATAATGGTTTAAGATTGGAACATGGCAACCTTGAAATATTTTGAGCTACTTTTGTTGATCATTGGTTTATTTATTTTACTTCACTTTTGTTCTGTGGTTCCTAAACTGAGTTTTCCTATAGGCTGTGATAGAGAAAACAAAAGTAGACCCAGCAGAAGTTGGAGACATTGTTGTGGGTACAGTACTCGCCCCTGGATCAGATAGAGGAATTGAGTGCAGAATGGCTGCCTTTTATGCAGGTTTCCCAGGTACATTTTACAGTCTTCATTGATATGCTGTACGAAATCATTGATTTTACTGAATGTAGAAGTCCTCTTGAGGTGGCTTCATATGATTATTCTTGTGGCTCGTATTTATTTTAGCACGATTTCTAATATATTATGGATCTCATTCAATTTTCAACCAGATACTGTGCCTCTTCGAACTGTCAATAGGCAATGTTCATCTGGACTGCAAGCAGTTGCCGATGTAGCTGCTTATATAAAAGCTGGTTTCTATGACATTGGTCAGAATGAATTGATCTAAACTTTATATTAAAATTCCATGGCCTGGTTATTTCTTTAGCCTAATCTTCCTAATATATCATGCAGGTATTGGGGCTGGATTGGAGTCTATGTCACATGACACTGTGAATAGGCTTAGAAACATTAACCCGAAGGTATGGAGAAGTTGTATATTTTGAATTCCACTTTTTCCTTTGAGACATGTTTGGCTTGACTTTTCATTATATTAACTTGATTTTTCATTATATTAATTAACAGGTAGAAACCTTTGCACAAGCCCGGGATTGTCTTCTTCCTATGGGAATAACTTCTGAGAATGTAGCACAGCGCTATGGTGTGACAAGGCTAGAGCAAGATCAAGCTGCTGTGAGTATGACACAATTATTTAATATGTTAAGGGTTTGTTATGGCAAATTTCTCTGTAAGCATTTTAAAAGAAGAAATGAGTGTCTGCATAAAAGCTAAAACTAGCTTATGCAAGCATGAGCTGAAAATCTGTTGTAGAAACTAAATGAGTTTCTTTAAATTAGTTTTTTGCATAAGCAGTTTTAGCTTATGGAGCAACTTATTTTATTTTTCTATCTTAAGTGTTTGTAGGGAAGTTTATCCAAACAGATCCTACATATGTATGAAAAGATTATTAGGATGCTTGAACTTTTAGTTTGTATAATTAGGTTGAGTCTCACAAGCGTGCTGCAGCTGCAACAGCATCCGGTAAATTCAAAGAAGAAATCATTCCAGTTTCTACAAAGGTAAGCATCAACGGCCAAAATGATCATTCCTGTAGTATTAAATATATTATACTACTAATGATATTTGTTTTCGAAGTTTGTGGACCCTAAAACTAGAGTGGAGAAGAAAATTACTGTTTCTGTTGATGATGGTATCCGGCCAAACACAAATATAGTGGATTTGGCAAAGTTGAAGCCTGCATTCCAGAAAGATGGATCGACAACAGCTGGTATTCAAGAACTATCTTTTGTTAATTTTGTTACTCTCGGGGAAATCTTCTACCTTGTGAATATATTTGTTTTCAATCTTTCTTTTTATTTCAATTTCAGGGAATGCTAGCCAAATCAGTGATGGTGCAGGAGCTGTGCTCCTCATGAAGAGAAGAGTGGCTGTACAAAAGGGGCTTCCTATTCTTGGAATCTTCAGGTAAACAATAACAATGATCTGCATGTATCCTATAATGTGCACACCACCTGCATTTAGCGGTGGAAAACGTGTTTTCTTTTATCCAAACTCGATGTCTCTATGGAAGCTGCACTTTGAACTATTAATTTGATTAATTTAACACCAACTACAATAGAGTCTTGGAAGTCAATTCACTTCCTGAAAAAGTAAACATAAACTATGAAAAAACAAGTATAGGAAATAAGGTTGTGAAAGAAAGTTTATGTAAATTAAAAAAAAAAAAAAAAAA